CAGCGGTGCCGATCATCGGGGCCACGGATCATGATCTCCAATTGGGATACCCGCCCTAAGGAACCCTTTGGGTCTCAAGTAGGGTCTAGACACAGCCACGCGTAGCGTCGGGAACGACCCATACAAGTTGGTCATGGTTCCCCCTATGTTAGATGGAGCACAAAAACTGGTATAGAGTGGGCTTCGCAATCTGCCCCTCGGACAGGATGTGATGACAATTAAGTTCGAACCATTATCCATGGCCCCGCACCCATGGTCACCGGTCGGGCCACCATATCGATCATGTCCATTATTCCTGTTTTATATCTCATCATCAGAGGAGAATCGAACTCCTACTCTAAGGTTATGAGCCTTATATGCTACCGTTACATCACTGATGATTCGACCTTGGAATGACGACTTCGCTACGTCAACCCTTAAGCGGGTCCACCGGCACCCGCTGTGTCCGGTACCTTACTACATAGAGATCATTTCTTACGTTTCGTATAATACAAACTATTCCCGGGATCACGAGCCACCAAAGGAGATCATCAATCCAACCGACCGATCAGGGTTTTTGGTCTGAGCCTTGGCACCGGGTTCCATCAACAACCGCGACCCTGGACGGGGGGTGATACCACAAGAGCTTCCATCATTGGTCCGGGCCCACGACCAGAACCAGTATCCTAGGGTTGATCCTGTCTCTTGAATGATACGGGACCAATATAGCTTGGTGAGAGGGTAACGTAACCTTGGATGGTCAATTAAAGCACCTGCGGTGGCTCACGAATGGAGTAAACCTATCCGAAGAAGGGCACGGGTCAGATCGAAGTGGTTCCGGTCATAAGTTGGTCTGATCGATGTCGGGTCCACCGTCAACAGATAGTCTATATACGGTGATTGAAATCCCATTGACCCTTTGGGATCGTTGTCCTGTTATGCGTAGCCACAAATCCCGACCACACCATTCAAGATCACCCACGTTGCGGAGCCACCTGCCTCTCGGGGATGGGTTCCCCTCATCCAACGTACCCTTCTTGGTGCACCCCGATGACATTGCCTCTGGTCCGATCTTGGCCGGCGCTGAATATGGTAAAACGTTATGGTGACCCGGGGATACCGCCTCCTGTAAGACGTGATCCATACAAGATCACAGCCTTCGCAGTGGGCAACATCGAGCAAGTTGCACCTTTACAGCGATATTGGTGTCCATCGTACGACATTGGTTCCGATCACTGACACCTCCACCGACATCGGAGCCCCCAAAATCACATCCATTATTCTAGTTTGGTGAATGAGTAGGGATGGTGTATAAGGGAGATAGCTTTTAATTGGCGTCGTTAACGACGTATGGTAAGGATATAGTCTATATCCCATCTATAAAGTGGATCTTAGTATTGACCATGTTTCCTCCTTGAGATGGTTTCAGGAGTTAACGGGAATGAACTTAGCCTCATATAAACAGGGGGTATACACACCCTATTCAAGTTTAACCATTGGTTCATATTACCAGGTCCTCTCGTACCGTGGTATTCGATCATGATTCCACTACTCTCTCAGCACATAGGGTCCGATCTGCCTCACGGCGATCTTAACCCAACTCACGTCACTATAGCCGACTATACATTAAACAGATTAATTATGTCCATAGATGACCTAGTCTGTAGCAGTATGATTACGTTATTCAACCAATACCGACGGTCGATCCTCCAAAGCCATGATAGGGTGTGGGGGTTTGGACCGTTAACATCTATGTCGCCATGTTCGAATTATGGAACCTGACTTATCAGAATGAACGACCGCGACCAATGATCGAGATCATTCTCACTCATTCCTCTATTAAGGCATCGTACAGTACCTTTTTATGCGGAGAACAGCCGCACCCTTCCTAGCTCTTGCACCAGGAGGATAAGATGAGTCGACCAAATTGTTATCGGTGGGCCATTTAAACCCTCCTTCAGCATGTTACCATACTGTTCAGACTATATCATAAAGCTCTTATAGAGCTCTCTGGGCGCTCGTGGATAGATTATTGTTGGTATAACTCACTATCTAGTCGTTGAACGTTTATACCTCTATTAAATACCGAGATATCTTTCGCTTCTGATTATCCGAGCCACCATGAGCTTTAGGACTTCCCAGAAATTCACCCAGTGCAATCCAACATCTTACGACATTGGAGGACATTGCTATCGAGGTGCCGAACAAAGGGTAAGATAAGAACTCCAACCCTTTACCAGCCTGTTCATTTATGTTATTAAAGAGCCGTTTAAACCCTCCTTCAGCATGTCATTACCATACTGTTCAGACTATGTCATCATAACAGGTGTCACATGGATCACCAATATTATGTCGGGCACTCATGGATAGATTATTGTTGACATGACTCACTATCTAGTCGTTGAACGTTCTTATATCCAAAAATGTTGATCGTATCCCCGTCGGAGCCACCACATCCTTCTGTCGATATAAGCTTCGCTGCAAATTGTCCATTAAGGATTTCCTTGCAATTAACCCGATTTTATAGGGACAACATTTATCCCTAGCGTAGCTTTGATTTCTTAAGCAGGTATCTTAAATACCTGGATCACTATGACCGACACGGTATATACCGAGTCCCAGATAGACTTATAGGTCAATCTGTCAAGCAAGTATAATCCATTACGATATATGTACTTACCTTTGTAGGCCTTCGTTACTATTTAGAAGGCATCCGCCCCAGATAAACTGTCTTTGAAACGTAATAAAGGTCGCTTCATAACAGTAAAGCTGCATAGGGTCTAGTGAGATAGGTAGGCCTTCACAAGCTTTCCCCCTCTAAGAACCGTACGTGCTACTTTCATAGCATACGGCTCAAGTGTATTTCTTGATCCCACGTCCAACCTAGTTTAATTTTATGTAACCTTACCCCCTTCAGATTGCCTCTGGTAGGGATACCGTTACGATATCCGAAAGGTGTCAACCACCATCATGCGTTGACACTTGAATAACGGGTGTAAGACAAACTAGGTAATGATCGGTCTCATTTTACACCATATACATAAGTCAGCCTCCTTTCAGAGCAGGGTATATACCCTTATCAACACCATTACAGTATTGCTTTCGCTTCTTATGAAATCTTATACCCTCTAGTCATAGATGAGTCCGCTTACGCCGCTCATTGTCCTTAACATTCAGACAGACTATAGGGCTTACCCAGTTCCATTAAATACACTTTAATGATACCCTTAGGATCCTACTATATACTGATCAATACGATTCCATCAATTAACATACGGGACATCTTAATCATCGTTGCTTATAAGCACTATCACAGTACGTCATCATAGGTTCACCATGTTATCCATAAGTATCTAGTCTTACAGGCATAGCCCATATTGTCGAATGAGCTTCATACAAAACAATTACTCGTAGCGCATGTCATTCTAGACTCATTGAGATGGAGTCAAAGGTGGATTCACACCACATTGTATTCTATAGCTTAACTGGTCGCACTCCCGTGTAACTGAGAGTCACAAGTATCTGCACTTGTAGTATAATTTCACACAGTCCATATAGGAGACAGTTGGGCGATCATGCCATCATTGAAGCGGGACATCAATTAAATGCCGAGGAATTTCGCTACCTTAGAACCGTTAGCAATCTTGATTATGCTTTCACATTATCATACGGACTATACCTGATGAGCCATGCCCATTAAATATGTAGTCTCTGGAAGCACCGTATCGATACTCTGCTGATCATCCAATCTCTTTAGTCTTCGTATAAGAGCTATAAGGAAGTTCCAGCATATGATTATGTTATGTAACCCTAACGTAAGTTACAGCTGCCATTGACTAGAGCTTATACCATGTAGAACGTAGGTCCAATGGATTTCACTTACTAGCATTGGGCAGATGACAGACCTAATACTTCCTAATGAAGTTGGCTAAGTCCTATGTTTGAGGTGAACAGTTGCCGCCCTATTTGCCGAGTTCCTTCTATATGGGTATCTGTATCCCTTCGCAATTTGATTGCTTCTCCACCTGAGTCGGTTTAAGGTATGGTACAATATATTTTCCAGTTAGGGTCATACAGCCATCCCTATTGATAGGTTAGGCACCAATAACTCGCAGGATCTTGAACATTTCCTGGAATACCTTGGAGATTAGGGCAGATAGATTTGAACTATCTTATTCGTTACTCATGTCAGCATTCTCAAAAGGATCGTATACGACCCCTCGCATTGCTACCCAATTAAGCCATGGCTAAAGTGCGTTATATCAGATCCGAACATTTATGACGATGTGACTTATCTTCCTTATGGTGTTACCCACTCTCTTAAGGATTGCTTCTGCCAAGCATACATTATGAAGTTCTTAACCAGCTGATCGTCTTATATACACTAAACAACGACTTTGGAACTTTAGCCTATAGATGGAGTTGTTTCTCTCTTGATAACGGATCTTATCATCCGTCACCTGACCAGTAGTATAACCATTACGTCTCTTTATGAGATTAGATATGATCAAGTGCTATACTAGACATAGGTACATACTACTGAACTACTCACATAGTTTTCGCAAATGAACCAGCTATCTCCAAGTTCGATAGGCATTTCACCTCTAGCCGCAGTTCATCCTAGAATATTGCTACATTCACAGGTTCGGTCTATATACCTGACCACGGTTAGATCACTTGGATTCGGGTCTATTAATTGGAACTTAATCTAAGGTATTCACTCGACGTATGTCTTGCTCCAAGTTAATGACTTACTGACCCCTTATGCAATAGGTAGATAGTTACAGCAATCACTGCTTCTATCTTAATGGACTTCTTGTTTCAGGCTCTATTTCACCACACTATGTGTTACTTTATTCAACTTTCCCTCTCGGTACTTTGCACTATTGCTTTACGATATTACTCAGCTTCCGACACTCTAAAGTGTCTCATAAACATCGATTGATGTAGCAGTTTATTTGTATACACTACTACAAGCCTTTTATCCTTTCGCTCTTCACTACTTAGATAGTATGGTTAACCCTTTATTTACCCCAGGTACTTAGATATATCAGTTCTCTGGGTTCTTCATATAGGTTTTTACCTATGGATAATGACGGTATGCTTAAACACCTATCTATTGTTTGGTCTGTAACCTCCATTCGTTTATCGAAAAGCTAGTCATCCACATTAAGTCCTTTTTAAGCTATCTCCCCCCTCTCTATACCTTATACTTACTACTCATTAAACCTGTTTAGTGTTTGACTTCCTAAGAATTCGACCTGTTATGGGACGTGGCCCCGTCACCATCAGAGACATGATTACCCACTGCCAGGCGGATGGTTCCTGATTTTGTCCACACCAGCTTCGCTTACCCGCAGCCAGGCTGGTGTCCCACCTGTACGCTTCACATCGATATGAC